AGGGGAGAGGGGGGGGGGAGAGGGGAGGGAGGGGTGCCTATTTATCAACCAAGTATAAGTGTGTATTGTCGTGTCGCTGCTGCACATGTGTGCACGTCTACTCTACGTGTCTATGTCATGTTTGTATGTTTGTATGTCTGTCTGTATTTCTATGTGGTGGGCGGGGGGGCGGGTCGGTGATTGTCAATCAGCCAGCTCAGCCAGTGGTGTGTCAGTCATGTCAGTCAGGCGTCTCGTCTCACGCATCCGTTCGTTGGTTCATGCAGTGCGTGCCATGCAGTCAATTTGTCTGCCTGCCACCCGTCAACCTATCTATGTATGTGCGATGCGTTCGTATCGGTCATGCGTACGCACGTCCTCTTTCATCGATCGCCGTGCCGGTTGTTGAGACCGACGGCCCCGCCCCCTTGATGTGATCCCCTTGATCCCTCCCCGCTATCTTTGTTCGTTTCTTTGACTTTGCTTTGTTTGTTGTTGTCGATCGCTTCTTTATGGGCCCACCCTCCCACCTGCCCACCCACGCATTCGCCCACCGCTTCCTCCCCCGCCCCGCCCTGCCCTCCCATCCCTGCGTGTATGTCATGTCCCTTACATAAGGGTCTATGAGTTTGTGTGGCGGCAGTACAGTGCGTGGCAGACACAGTCTGTCTGTCCGTCGGGCGCCCCAGCTTCATGGAGAGAGACATGTGCACACGCACATCACAGACAGACAGACAGACAGTGTAGATCGTCCAGCCGATCCCATCAGCCATGATGATGACGTCTATATATTATCTACCTCACCTTACCTCAGCCACCTCAGCCAGGCAGCCAGTGTATTTATTTGAGTGCGTGTGTGTGTGTGTTTGCTGCATGTGGTGCGTGGCGTGCACTGTGGTGTTCGCCTCGCCTGCCTGCTACCCGCTGTGCCTACCTGCCAGGCTTGGGGGGTGTGTCGATCGTTTTTTGTTACCTCGTCGCACCTCTCTGCTTGCGCAGCCACGGGATAGGCAGGCAGGCAGGCACGCCATACCATCCCTCCCTCCCTCCCTCCCGTCCGTCGCTCCCTCTTAGAATGTCGTTTCACGTGTCTGAATGGCTGCCTGCCTGTGTCCGTGGGTGTGGTGTGAGAGACAGGTGGGGGAGAGGAGAGGAGAGCGCACGTACGTATGCAGGCCAGGCATCCCCCTCTCTAGTTGGCTGCTCGAGTGGACGGTGGGCTGTCTGTCTGTCTGTCTTTCGTGTGCAATGCTCTTTTGATGGATGGTCGATTGGTTGGTCGATGTGTGTTCGTGCAGGTGAGTGTGTGTGTGTGTGTGTGTGGTTTGTGCATTTAGGCCGTGCATGATGTGCGTGTGGGTGAGTGTATGTGGGTGGTGTGTGCGTGTGCGTTCATGCTCTAGATCTTTCTTGGTGTCCTAGCTGCTTGGTGAGTGCGTCTGTGCGGCCGTGCGTTTGTGTCAGTGGATGGATGGATGTTCGTGTCGCTGTCGATCAGACACAGACGCTGAATAAATCTGTGGCTACGTATAATGCGCACCAACCGAAAGCACACAGACCTTCTCAGCTCAATTCACGCGCACATTCGTTTCGGTGTCTGTCCATCCATCTGCACTGGATGCACTCACGGGAAGCTCAGGTCGGGTGTAGCTTTGATGCGGACGAAGGTGAAATCGACAAGCAACAAGTCGTTGTCTTCCGCGAAGTGGGACGCGTCGAATGTTGTGCCGTCGGGGTTTGGTACGGGCAGAATGGGAAGCCGAGTCGGGAAGGGTTTGGCTGGCGTTCTGGCGTCGAGAGACTGCTCGAAAAGGAGGAAGGCGTACGTGTGGCCGATGGTGGTTGGCGGCTCGTATGGGAAACGCTCATCGCCGGCAGCGACCACGCCTGAGCCCATGCAGCAGTGCATGGATGTGTGTCTGCATGTCCTGGGATTCTGACAAACCTGTTGGAGGGATGTCGGTGACGCACCATTTGAGGCTCGGAGGGATGTCATCGACGTCCATCTGCCCACATGTCCACACATAAACAAATGCGCCTCGTCACCTCTCCTGACTGACCATGATGAGTGTGTACTTTCTGTCTGGAGCTCCGTCAAACGACACAGACGGCCGATTGCGGAAGTATCTTGACAGACACAGACACACATGCTGTAAGACACACATGTTGTGGACATGTGGTGTCCTAATGTCTCACTCCTGGATGGTTTCTTCGCCGGCGATGGTGTCCCGTCTGGCGTCGTTAGCGACATCGTGCTCAACATGCAGCGTCACTGGTCGACCACACACGGCAGCAGCAAGTGTGCATTGCACGTCTGTCTGTCTGTCTGACTGACCTTTGTGGTGTGTGTCTGAAGGCTTGTCGATGGCCAGGTTGAGCAGTGGAGCAATGGCCTCGTCAAACAGCTGTTCTGAGTATTTGGTCTTCCCCTCCTCAACCAGTCGCTCCATCGGCTCACCCTGCACACAGACACAGACAGACACACAATGATGAATGATCGATGGACGGCCCGTGCAGTTGTCTGTTTGCTTGCCTTGTCATCGTTGTTTCTCCGTCTGATGCTGATGGCCGAGCCGGAATGAGTCACACACAAGAGCACAATCAATGGAGCGAATTCGAACCGCATCGTCGTGATCAGCTGACGCGCGACAGTCAACCAACCAGTCAGCCAATGAATCAAACAGTGAGGAGCGCGTCTCTTTACATACCTATACACAATTAAACAATAGTGTCTGACCCACGTACACGCCCTCACAAGCACAGGTCGAAGGGAAAAGTACTCCAACCATGCCAACACGACAAGAAGTCAAGTCTCACCGCCAAATTGTCACCGCCCGCCGGGCGCGGCACTCTAACTCCCCTCTACAAATTACCCTCGAACTCTCATGTGCATTCACAATACACTATATACGTCGGCCCACTGGCCGCTGGTCAGTGCCAACCGCCCAACCGCCTTTGACCGTCGACACCGCCATGGCTATTGCCATCAGCCTGTCGGCCCTCTGCAGTATCTTTTCGGTACTGGCCAGCATGTCAGTGATAGGCGCAGGGCGGCCGGCGTCGTCGAAGTCACACGCGCCCAACATGAGCTTGTCCATGTCGGCGGTGCAGCAGAGGGGTGGAGGGCTGCTAGCGGCCGGCACCTCCGGCCCGGCTGACCTCTGCCACCTGGTCTCGGCCGCCCAGCTGCCGCCCGTCTTGTTGAAACGGCCGGTGAGCTGGCAGTGCTCCGACGCCTGATTGACTGATATGCGTCCGTCCACAAGCAGTCAGGCAGACAGAGACAGACAGACAGACAGACATATGTGTGCAGTGTGCATGCGTGTGATGTGTGTGGGGGTCACTGACCAGATAAACCACCACGGGCGCCACCCAGTCGGGCGTCAAGACGGTGAGCCTCTCCAGCTCCCACTGGGTGCTGATATTAACACTACCCGTGTGCCGGCACTGAAACAACCAACCAAACGAACACGGCGAGAGTGAGGTCCGTGTGCATGATCTGTGTGTACGTGGTCAGCTCACAGTGGCGCGACGCAGTTGGCGGTGATGCCCTTGTCCATCCCGTCGGCGGCCAGCGATCTATCTGGTCAGCCCAACCAGCCCCATCTTCATGCTCGCATACCTGCACATTCTTCCCACACAGACACACACATACGTGCTGTTTGTGTTCGTCACGCCCCGCCCATCCACGCACCCGACGTGCGTGGCGTCGCCGTAGGGACCCGCCACTGAGGTGATGTTGATGATGCGGCCGAACTTCTGATTGACCATGTGCGGCCGGCCAGGCGGCGCGGCAGACGCGGAGCGCCCCTTTGAAGTGAGTGTTGTAGACGGCGTCGATGGACTCGAGGGAGCACTCGGCGATCCCACCTGACAGACGCATCAATGATACAGGCAGGCATGACCGGCGCTGCTTGGTGCACGTGTATGTCATCGATCTGGCCACGAACGTACCTTCAATGAGAGCCCCGGCTGAGTTGACAAGGATGTCCACACGGCCGGCAGGTGTCGATGCAGTGCTGCACAATGGCTTCGCCCTCCATCACTGAGCGATAGTCAGCCGTCACCTCGCCGCCTCGTGCGATGATCTCCGCACACACTTCATCCGCCGCATGCCGTCCGTCCACCGACAGGTTGGAGTCGTAGACCAGGCTGACCAGCACCTTGCAGATGCCATGCGCTGGCGCACGGAGAGGGCGTAGGTGTAGCCCAGTCCCACCCCGCGCCGGTCACAATCACAGGGTTTGGGGCTAGGGTTTCTGCCCCCAGTCACGCCACCCGATTCGGAGAAGATGAAGATGAAGAAGAAGGAGGACTCCCCGAAGGACTTCACTCACGAGGGTAGGCACACATGGTGCCCGGAGGTGGAGAAAAAGCTCATGAAGGAGCTCGAGAAGAAGGGCGCCGACACCACCGCCAAGAAGGATGCGTGCATGGCCCACCTGGTGACGACGGACGACTGGGGGAAACTCTGTGCCGCCGCAGGCAATCCAGGGCCCGTGTGCAAGACGGCCTGTAAGAAGGTAAGCGGCTGACCTGGGGAGAGGGAGAGGGGGGAAAGGGCAGACAGCCTGAGAGCATGAGAGGGGAGGGCCCTATGGGAGGCCCACGAGTGTGTGTCCTACGGCCCGGTCATGGATGTGTTGTGGGCCATCGACCTTCTCTCTGTCCACTGCCTCTGTGTCTCCGTCGGCTCTGTGTGTGTGTGTGCAGCGCCTGACCTTCATCAAGAAACACCTGGCCGACTACGAGTGGGCGCATGACATCCTCGGCAAGATCGACGCAAAGGCTTTCCGCAGCCGCGCTCTCAACGCCAAGAATGAGATGACAGCGGTGGTGAAGACAGAGGAGGAAGACAAGGTTGGCGGCAATGTCGAGAACATGGGGCGGCTGGCGACCGACACGACCGTGGACACCTCGCCACTGAACCGCTCTACGGACGGAACCGCGCCACTCGACACCACACGCCAGAGCAAGGGCTGCTCGGGGGGTGAGACATACACACACACACAGAGAAAGGATGGGATGGCTGTGGCTGTCTCCCGTGTCTCTGGGGTTATCTCACTGTGGGCCCATTCTTGTGTGTCTGTGGTGCAGATTCTGTTGCTAAGGAGGTCAAGCCGACGACGGACGGCAAGGACACAATGAATGAGACACACAAAGGCCAGATCACGTCTCCTCCCTCTCTGTGTGTGTGATCGATCAGATGGGATTGTCATAGAGAAGTCTCTGGTTGTCGAGGACGGTGTTGACAAAGGCGCTGCCCAGCCGTTGAGCCGCTTCGGGCGGCAGCAGAGAAAGAAACAACTCGGCGCTGACGGTCAGAAGGCAGGCAAAGAGACACATCAAGGGCCACCGCCACTTGCTGTCTCTTCTTTGCAGAGGTGGATCCGTTCACCGCGCCCCTCGTGGCGACCACCCCGGCTGTCAAGATGGCCAAGAAGACACGTGCGGTGACAAGACGCCAGCCGTCCAAGCCGCCCCGCTCGCCCAAACGCAGCGTGCCGATGGCCTTCGAGCGGCCTTCGAAGCCTGAGCTCTTCGAGATGCAGCCGAGACGATATGAGCGATTTGACACTGACTCTGACTCTGACCAAGACGCTCGCTTCGGCCGCAAATCGCACAAACGGACAGATACCTTTGAAGAAGCTAAATTGGTGATGATGCAGCTGGCGCCCGACACACTCATGTCCAAGACGGCCTCCCCAAAGCCCGCAAAGTTTGAAATGGCCAAAAGTGACCAGAAGGAGCGTGGTGAGTCCGCTAGTGCCGGCCAGCAGACACACCGCAGCCCGCCCAAAGTCATTCAGCTCGATGACCGTTTCGATCCCCCCAAAGACGGCAAGTCGTACATATTCCCTGACGAGAACGAGTGGGGTCTCTTCGAGGAGCGCCGCTACGACAAGGACAACAACTGCCTGTACATTGGTCGCCAGTTCGACAGATTCGATCCGGATGACTTCATCGAGCTGACCGAGATCTTCGAGATGCGATGCAGCAAGAAGACAGGCGGGGGGAGTGATGCCGCCGAGCAGCCGGCGGGAGGACACAAGGGGCCGCCCAGCTGGGCCGAACTGCAGGCCGCCCTTAACGAGAACGAGAAGAAGCGGAGACGCCCCTGGGAGGGATTCGACAGCTTCCGCCCGCGAGTGGGGATACATCTACATGCGCATGGGCTGGGCTGCGGGGTCGGCATTAGTCGTTCGAATGAAGAGGTCACTGACAGACACACAGAAGGAGACACATATCGAGCCTCCAAGAGACTCTCTCTCTGTATCACTGCTGTGTGTGCCTTCAGTTTTTGTCTGGCCTGGACGATAAACAGAGAGGCTTCTGCAACCACGGATCCATGTCGCTGCAGCACGGTACACACGCAAGACATCACCCCAGCCGTCCCCATCTCATGGTGTCTCCCTGCCTGTCTGCTGATTGCTGGCCTTGTGGTCTTCAGGTGCTGGCGCCGACACGCTCGAGCCCCCAGCAAAGAAGAGCCGCACCGCTACCAGCGCCGCCGCCTTCATGAGTAGCTCCTCGGGCTCGTCCTTGGGCCGCAAGGAGTCCATCCTCTCGCAAGACGACGACCCCTTAATGGGCGATGCCATTGGCGGCAGCAAGGGCAGCAGTTGGGAGCCCCACCCGTGGCTCAGCCAGGAGCCCCTGGTGCGCAACTGGAATCTCGACCCCGACCATCCCGACAAGCGCCCCCTGCCGCCCGAGATGCGGCTGGACTTGGAGGCCCGCGCCCGAGAGATCCGGAGTCACAGATGCGATACGCTGACGCAATCGCCGCCGGCAGCTTAGACTGGGGCGACGAGAACAACGAGATGATGGTGACCTGCGGGGCGGAGGGCGCTGCTGCTGCTGCTGGTGGCAGCGGGCGGATGGAGATCGAACTGTGAGCAGAGAGCTGGAGGGGGAGAGTGGTGGAGGGGGGGGAGAGAGGGTGAGTGAATGGGCTGGGAGGGGCGAGTGTGAAGGGTTGGGGCCTGCGTGGACAAGGAGGGGCGGGGGAGAGACACCCACACAGAGATGATGGTTGAACGAGCCAATTGCTCCGCGCAAAGACATCCATTGCCATGAAACGCACTCAGACAGACAGACACGAACAGCGACAATTCAGTTAACACAAGACGGGCCAGGCCGTCTGTGTCTTCATAATCTCACCCGCACGCACGAGCACACAGACCGTCTGTCTGTCTGTCTGTCTGTCTGTTTGTGTGTCTGTCGGCCGTCTGTCCACTCTCACTCACACATGATCGATCTGCCCGCGGGGACCGATGGTGACTTTCCTCTTGGTGCCTCTGGCCTCCTCTCTGCTGCTGCTGCTGGTGGTGGTGGTCGTCGGGGCCACCACGCTCAGCAAGAACTGACACACACAGAGACACACAGGCAGTGAGAGTGAGACTCTCGAGAGTGTGAGTGTGGACCAGGCGGCTGTGTGTGTACTTTGTGCGGCTCGGCCTCTGGTGAGGTCGGTGCTCGCCTCGTGATCGATCACCACGGCCTGCGACTCAAGACCCGCTGCACACACATACACACACAGGGACACACACACTTCATCTGCAGCGTCACTGCAGGGGCTCATCACGCCCGAGCAGATCTGTGACAGAGGAAGACGTGCATTGCCGTGGGTCTGCAGTGTGGATGGCGGGCGCCGTGTAGAGCAAGGTTGCGCCCGGGTCAAGCGATCTCTCTCCTTGAGGTGCGGCCCGTCCGCGAGGCGCGACAAAACGTTTTCGTTTACCTCGAGCTCGCAGCTGTGCTATTTTCCATCTTGCGGCGGAGCAGTCGTCATCATGAGATCTATGAGCGCCCTGTTCCTTTCCGCCGTTCTCTGGGGTGTCGCAGTCACCAAATCACATCGACAGCATCGTCTCGTTGTGCCTTCCTTCGTCCATCTACCCTCTCTCGCTGGAGGAGGGACGCCACGACCACAGGGCGTTTTGTTCCCGGCTGTTCAGCAGCAGCCCCTGGTCCCGCTGAGCAGCCGCAAGGGCACTGCTCTCAACGCCTGGCAGCTGCCGCCTTGCCTGCAGCCGCTCACTGGCCACCTTCTCGACGCTGCCAAGGCCGCTGCGGTACAGTACTCACAAGGCGGGTGCAGAGATGGCTGTTGCAACCGTTCATTGATCAGTAATTGCTTTCAGATGTCGTCGGCCATCGTGAATCATGCAGTCCTCTGTGCCCTCCTTGGTATGGCGATGGGGACGGGTGCAGCTGAGCGGGACCACTGGTGGATCATGCGAGGCGACCAGGCAGGCGCAACGCTGCTCTTTGGGATTGCCGTTTGTAAGCGCTCGTCTCAGCCGCCCCTCGCCGTCCCCGCGCTATGATCCTATGGATGTGTGTCTGTCTGTCTGTCTGTCGGGCTCCATCAGCGATGATACATCTGTGCTGGGTGTTCGGGACCAACATGGCCAAGTGGTCCACCACAGTCATTTTCCCGCCGAGCTTCTTCTGCGTGCAGTTTGTCGGCTGGGCTTCTTATCTTAGCGCAGCCATACTGTGGGGTGAGTGACCATCACAGCTGAGTCGACCGCGGGTGCGGACAATCTTCTCTTTGGCTGCCCTGCCCCCACACAACGCTCAGGTCGAGCCTCGCCTGTCATCTGGCGTGTCCTCACTGACCTCCTTGATCCCTCCAAGTCGTGGGAAAGAGCAGTGGCACCTCAACCGGATCCAGTGGCCGCCGAACTGGAGCGACTCAAGAGTGCCAAAGCAGGCTGATTGACTGACTGAGGGATGTGGGATGCATGGTGCTTGACTTCTGAGCACCTGGCGTCTGCACTAGCGCAGTGTGTTGACGTATGCAGTCAAGCGCGGACCTGGTCTGGCCGGTTTTTCGTGCCGAGGCAGCATTTGCGCACTTGTGATCGGGAGAGGAATCGGAGGACACTATCATGGCATGGAGTCGGCAAATGCACCCCATTATGCGGTGTAGACACAGACGGCGCGCCGAGCTGTTTGCAAGTAGATTTGATTCGATGCTGTTTGCACGCGGCAGAGGTCTGCCGTGTCGTGCATCAACACGCAAACACGCCATACACACACGCAAACGGCACGAGCACTGCAGTCACAGATGGCCAAGCACGCCCTTCATGTGCACAGCACACCGCAGTTCTCCACCTGAGCTCAAAATGCCCTCTGGACTGGTTTCGCGCGTCACTCACAGTCAGTCCGTAAGTCGGTCTGTCTGTCTGTCTGTCTCCGTGGTTGGCCGTTGCTGTCAGTTGTCGAGCTCCCGCAGGAAAAGTGCTCGTCGTTGACAAATGTGCTGGCCATCGGCACAACGTCAACGACGAGCACGAACCAGAGGAAGCTCTGCGAACCGAGAGATAACCCACACAGAGCAAGATGGGTGGCCGAAAGCTCTACGCACAAAAAAGGCCCGCGTTTGTGTGGTTTTGTGTGCTATTCCTCTCTCTCTCTCTCTCTCTCTCTCCCTCCTCGCACGAAGGCGAGATGCCCTGCTGCAAGCCAGCCGATTGCACGTCACACGAGGAAGCCTCACGCGGGCAGAAGCGCCCAAGCAGCAGTGCAACCAAACA